TGTGTGTGTGTGTGTGTGTGTGTGTGTGTGTGTGTGTGTGTGTCCGAACTAGGATCACCTGAAGTACATTTTTGAATGAAAGAGAAAGTGAGAAAGGGGAAGTCTGTGTGCTTTCTACATTCTCTCTGCCCATCGTTCAGCTCAGCTGTAACTGCTGCTTCTCAATAGTTAATCTATTTAAAACAATGTGACTGTTGAAACATTGTTTATTTAATGTTATAGACAATCTGCTGTTGTCTTAAGGTGCTCTGAAATAATATGTGTGTGAATGTCAGAGGAATGCACTGCAAACACAGGAGATATAGAAATACGGTGCACTATTTCAACAGGAGAATTTACTAATATTTTTTGTATTTGGGTAAAAAAGTAACATAAACATGAAAATCCTGTATTTCCTATGTCTTTCAGTACTTTTCAGGATATAGAGATAAATGTGCCGCTCTATGCATGAGGTCAGTGCTGAATTATTTGAAAAGGGAGTCTTAATGAGACTGCCAGGATCGCCTCTTTAGGTTTCAAAGGCTCAGGAGACACGTGGTTTTATCATTTTGCAAAAATTCCAACTTGCATGAATCCCCAGGAATGGTCCCATAGGCTTCCCTGTGAATGAGAGTGTGTATGCTTGGAAATACATGCAAGCGTTTTTGTGTGTGTTTTTGATTCATTCATTCATTCATTCATTTGATTCAAATGCAAAGTCATTTATTCAGAATTTAATGTTTACGCAAAATGTCTAACAAAAGGCACAGAAACCGTCTCTGTGTTGTAGTTGCTGACTGAACTCTTTTGTCTGATCTCTGTAGCTAAACTCATTGTGGAAACAGATACTTTTGGAAGTCGAGTGCGCATCAGGGGAGCTGAGACTGACCTATACATCTGCATGAACAAGAGAGGGAAGCTCATTGGCAAGGTGAGGCTCAAAGCTGATTTCAGCCAGCTCATGGTCCAACGACTCACTAGCTGATTCTAAATGATAATGGATGGAGCAGTACAGCTCAAGAAAATACTGCTCCATCCACTGCTTTAAGCAGACCTCAAGAGATAAGCAGAGATCAGAGAAATCAAATAGATTTCTTTGATATAAAAGAATCAGACTTTGACCATATGACTGAAAGGGTCATGTATCCAGGGTCCAAATGGCCTAGCATGTCAGAGAACAAGTCATTTGTTTGTCACATTAAAGAAAATTATTCCATATTAGTGATGCTTTTAATCAATAACATCAGCAACAGTCATTTTTGATTTACTCGTTTTATTTCATTATTTTTTTCTGTGAATAAATCGCATTAAAAGCAAAACAAAGACTAAACCTGGAAACAGCTTCTTCCTCACACTAAATGTCAGAGTGACTATTATCCTGGTCAAAAAAAAAATCATAAAATTAATGGCGCATTAGAAAAAATAATAATACTAATTGATTAATTCTATCAATCAAGCTAATCTATAACATTATTTTATTAAGTTCAGTGCAATCCCATTTCATTTCACATTCATATATTATACAGTAAAGATCCCACAATATTAGAGCGACAACCCTAACAACCCCATGAGCAAGCAGGAAGGGAAGAAACAGGCAGAACGAGGCTGCCTGTGGGGGTGAGGGGAAAGAGACCCATGGTTTAAAATTAATTACTAATGATTACATACAGTAGTGGTGTCCAAACACATGAAGAGTGAAAAAGAAACACTGCATCATGGGAAGCCCCAGCAGCCAAGTCCCATTGCAGCATCACCTCATCCAGCCCCGACTGCGAGCTTCATCAAAAGGAAAACCTTTAAGTGTACTCTTAAAAGTAGGGATGTCAACCCAGTCCAAACTGGGAGCTGGTTCCACTGGTTGGCTGGTTTAGGGAAAAGTTTAATAATCTGAGTTTTGATCAAACAGTGGTCAACATTATTTAATGCAACAGGACGAGCACAGAACCAAACACAAGTCTAGTAATAGTGGGAAAGTAATTATCGACATTTACTCAGAAAGCTTAATCACAGAGACGTGTCGATATCAATACGAGGAGTTTTTTAAAGTTGCTGTACAGAAAGATAAATCTGTGGGACAACTATGAATATGTTTTTAAAAACTGGTTAAAAGAAATTCATGGACTCATTGATAACTGAAGCTGACTTTATGTGATCCTGACTAAACTTATTTTAAAGTAAATAAGATGTCCAAGCTTTACAAAAGGCTTTTTTCATAGACAATGAATTATCTAAATATATACATTAATGTTAAACTATCATTATTACATTTTTACAGGTAATTTATTGTCAATACAGAGTTATAATGACACTGGCATCAACAGCTGGAAATAGTCCAGACTCAATACACTCCCACAGTTTTGACAAAACATACACTGTGTGGCCGGAAGTGTACACACAATTATTATAAATGTTATGGTAAATTTGCTTTTAACAGTTTCTTTGAACTGTTGATTTTCCAAAGTGGAATGAATGTACAGAACACACCTTCAATCATTTTAAAAAACAAGAATTGGGTTTGAATTTATTTGGGATTTTCTCCAATCCACACATGGCCAAAAGTGATCGTATGGACTCAAATATAGATGCACACTCACTTATGTCTTTTAATTTGACAAGGCCCAGGCCTTTTAAAATCACATTAGTGATCAGGACTGACTACAGCTGGTAGTTTCTCTTTGCAACATAAAAATAACTTGCTTGAGAGCAACGCTTGTAACAATGTGTCTAAGGAGCTCAGTGAAGATTTGCACAAAGTGGGAGGGTCTCTTGGAGCCATTTCTAAACAGCTGCAGATTCCATGATCATCTATTCAAGCAGTTATATGTAATTAGTGATTTAGATGTGTCATCTTTCTGGAAGTCCCAGGAGAAACCCAAACTTTTGTCCTCAGATAGAAAAGAATTTGCCCAAGATATTCAGGAACAACCAGGACTCAAGCCTGCCATAAGTGAAAGCTGCTGCAATGCCAGCATCACCGCCCATAATGAAACCAGCTTTACATCGCCATGGACGGAGACTGTGACAACACCTTCAAGCTTAACTTGAAGCAGGATTCACTGGGGCTGTTTTACTGCCAGTGATACTGGTACGTGGCACAAAATGGGTGAAATAAAGGAGAAAGAGGATTACCTCCTAATTCTTTAACTTTACATCATATCGACAGATGTTGGAAACTCAGACACAGCTGGGTGTTCCAACTGGACAATGATCCCAAACACACATAAAAACTGGTTTTGGAATAAATAAACTAGGCTGACATTAACATGGGCATGTGGACTATACTTAAAAGTCAGGTTCATACCAGTAAACCAGCCAGATAAGAAAAGTGGTCAAATATCCAACCAGAATTATGTTAGAAGCTTGCTGATGGGTATCAAAAGCATTTTGGTCCTATTCCAGGAAACAGGTTTAGCTAACGACCCGAGATGAGGGGAATTCTGGGTTCTCAGTTCCAGAACGAGAGTTAACTTTAACCCTGAGTCACTTACCAGGGTAACAGACGCTGCGACGTAACCTGCTCGCGGGCAGGTTCTCTTCTACGAACCGAGTTTCTCTCTGACTCCTCCCCTCCTGCTGCACCTGCACCAGCTGGTGTGAAGTTGAGACTGAAGTGATTTCAAAACTTTAAAACTGAACTAAATGTATTAAAGTGAGTTTTTAGTAGACCGATTAGAACACAGATCTGGCGGTGGTACATGCCGTGTAGGGGCCTGTCCTTCCATGATGGTTCCTCCTCTAACTCCTCTTCTTTCTGGGGTCTTGGGAGGTGTCAGTAACTTCTTTTCCTGCTTTGGCCAGTTTATTACCCCAGCAGGGTATCTGATGACCAGCAGTCAGTGTTGATTGCCCAGATTGTTTTCTTCCCATTCAGCTGACTCCTCAGGACTTGCCTGACTCTCTGCAGGTTTTTGGTGGTTGTGGCTTTCCTCTTCATGGTTTCCATTTCCCCGTGGGATTCCCAGCTACTTGTAGCTGTCCTCAGTGTATGCTTTCTGGTAGTGCAATCCACTCAGTTCTGATTACCTTCCCTCTCCTTGTTGTTCTCCGATCCGAATGACATTCCGATGTTGTTGCTGTAGATCCTAGTTTGATCCATACAGCTTGATGTCATTCATGTAGAGAAGGCAGCTAACGACTGCACCATTCCATAGTCAGTATCCATAATGATCTCACTGAGGCAGAACAGGCCTATGCAGAACAGCAGTGGGGACAGGGCACCTCCTTTGTAAATCCTGCACTTGATGGTGACCTGTGCAATTGTCTTGAATTTGGCCTGTAGTGTTGTTCACCACATTGAATTCCTGATGAAGGTTCTTAGGGCCCTGTTGGTCTTGTACAGTTCAAGCCATTCCAGGATCCCCGTGTCAGGGATTGAATCAAAGGCTTTCTTGTAGTAAATCTCGGTGGTGCAGTGACTGGTCTTCTCTGCTCTGTCTTGAGGAGTCAGCTGAATTGGAAAAGCAACAACCGTGCAATCAGCACCAATGCCCTGATGGTCATCAGATACTTTGCTGGAATAATAAGCTGGTCAGAGGAAGCGATAGCACCCTGTGACATTAAGACAAGAAAGCTCCTTACCATGCAAGGAGGGTTTCTCCCCAAGTCCATCACCCTGAGGCTGTACATTAAGTGGAAGGAAGGAGGTCGAGGACTAGTGAGTGTCAAAACCACTAGGATAAAACAACAAAGACCAATGAGTACACCAGGAAGATGGCCACAACTGATCGTGTGCTTAGTGAATATGTCAGGCAGCAAAAACCAGAGAAAGAAGAGAAGCAAGAACAGGAACCATCATAGAAGGACGAGCCCCTGCACGGCACGTACTACTGGCTGATACCGAAACATGCTACTAATGGCTGAAGAAAGCTGGACTGAAAGACAGCACAGAGGCACGAATCAAAACAGCACAAGAACGAACTGTAAGCACAAGATCTATAGACGCTGGACCCTAACTCACCAGACAAGAGCCCAGGAGCAGGCTGTGCAGATACCCCGGAGACAATCCAGCACACAACCACAGGATGCAAGACGCTAGCACACAGGGCATATACGCATAACCCAGTGGCCGGTATAGTAGACAGGAACATCTGGGTTCTTTTTTTTCCTGATTCTGAAGGACATGGCGTTCATCTGCTCATCTTTTGCAGATATTTTTACATGTGCCACTTCTTCTTTTATCCTCCACTTGTCCAGTTTCTTCAACTATTTCTTCACACCATGCTGAGATATGCCAACATTTCACTTAATAGCTCTTTGGGAATCATCTTGTTGGTGCACAACTATTACTTTATGGTTCTTAAATTGTTATCTTTGGCATTTAGATTCAACAAAAGACATGGAAACAAACTATGTGTTTTTGTAAATGGTTGCTAGTAACAACATGCTTAAAGATGCAACTGAAAAACTGGTTCTTTTTTAAGTTGGCCGTTATTTGTAGATACAACGCTGGTTTAGCCTTTTTTATGCTCGTATTATTCATAGGTCAGTGTTAGGTGGCCTAACAGACAGACTGAAAATGACTGAAGAAGACCTTCGGAAAGCCCATAGAATTATTACTAAGGACCACTTTTAAAAGTTACAAAAGTCTGGCTCTTTGGAAGGGTTAGAAATAAAGAAATGCGGGCTGGCTCAGGACTCTTCCACAATACTGCATTTAACGTTGTCATGTGAGATGTGTCTTAGTGGGTGACTGCCTGACCTCTCTCACTGTGATGGCTAATAAACAGAGCTGCCAGCCTTTCTGTAACCCTACCACACACACACACACACGCTCCACCCACCCAGCACCCTACCTTGAACACCATCTGCCCCAAGCTACCGGCCCAGTCACCACCTACCTCACCCGCAGTATATGTGTGTGTGCATATGCGCGTGTGTGCTTGTGTCGAAGAATTGACAGAAAGTGTGTGTTTTCAGTGTGTGTACAGGAGTGTGCCAGGACTATTTTTAACACACTCTGTACAGTAGGCCAGGACTGCGTGCTAGTGCAGTTTCAGAGAACTACACTGTACATTTTGTCTCATCCTTTTTTACTTTATGATGTTACCAACTGGACATCACACGTTCATCCATACGTCACCCATCTTTCATAGCCTGCCTTTTATTGTCGTAAAGACCTGATGTAACCTGGAACTTAAATTCAATGGGATTCACTGAACTCTGCAGACCTGGGGGTGATGTGTGTTTAAGCATCTACTGATTGTTATTCTGGCTGACCAGAGCTGTTAAATTTAACCACAAATGCAACAGGAAGTCAAACCTGGAATGAAAGTGACACTTAGGGTCTGATTAAGGCTTCATGACAGGAAGGTGTGCGCTGCTGCAACTGACCCACAAGGGTTGCTGGAGGTCTGTTGAAGGGGGAGAATAGTGATCTTCCTCTGTTTGATTTGTAATGACTGTAGCATACGCTGCACATTTGAGGGGAAGGTTTTCATTCTGCAAATCTTTAATATCTTTTGTGAATATCCTCTTTTTTCTGTCATTTGTGATTTTGCAGAAAAACGGACAAGGCCGTGACTGTATCTTCACCGAAATCGTTCTGGAGAACAACTACACGGCGCTGAAGAACGTCCGTTATGAGGGCTGGTACATGGCTTTCACTCGTCGGGGGCGTCCACGGAAGGGCTCACGGACACGCCAGCACCAACGTGAAGTCCACTTCATGAAGAGGCTGCCAAAGGGGCACCAGCCCACCCATCCGAGCCACCACCGGCCTTTTGACTTCATCCACTACCCTTTCAGTCAAAGGACTAAGCGTACGTGATACCCGTCAGAGAATAAAACGGAAAAGTCAGAGAAAAAGGAGAACCTGACTGGATTTCTCTTCTCTCCCCAAAAACCTCTGGAGACAGTTTTATACTGATAAATATGATACCTTGATGAGTAGTTTATTTTTTGTAAAGTAAAAAAAGCCACACAAAGACAAAAAACATATATTTTTGTACTCCGGGTTTTTAGTACTGACTTGTGTAAAAAAGTAAAGAAAAAGAAAAGTTTGTTTTTAATCCTCATGACTCAGTGTTTGACTTTTTGAGGATATCGTTTTAGTAGAGTGCCCTGTGTTGGTTATTGTTCGTTGTTTTTATCAGTGGAGTCACTTCTTGGACTCTTGCCTGCTGCTCAAGGAGACTTGAAGGACCCTGATTGACCTCACTGCCAGGGAACGCTATATTCAGACACACAAACTGTCTCGTAGTGTACAGGAGGCAACAAGGACTATAATCAGAATTATTTGTTGGTAACACTGCAGTCCACACTTTTTGCTGGGCGCTGCGTCCTGACTGGGATTGCTCATTATCTCGCTCACACAGTTCAACCAAACAGACATTCACTAGCATTGAATGGAACAACATGGCAGCTATACTTGATATTCACAGGCTTGTGTTCTGACTGTTTTGTCTCGATGTGTACAAAATGCATTGAAGTGTAAGTGTAATCCACGGACACATCCCCTAACCCTTTGTCTTCTCGTTGCTCGCTGAATGTCTGTTTTTATACATATATAAATATATTTTTATTTGAGGATGTGTAAAATAATTTTACGGATGATTTATTTATTTAAAACGTGTAATAAATGCACATTAGAATACCGAAGCTCGTGTTTGGTACGTGCTTGCTTGGGATCCATTTGTGAAACCTTGGAAAGTCAGACATGTTGCTGACTGGCCTCATCCCCCTACAGCCACACACTGTAATGAGTAATGAAGCTGACCGATTGCAGAGTGTGTGCGAGTGGTGTCTTCCAATGTCTCCGTACGTATGGCATTAGAGTTCACTGGTTGATGAGGATAACACCAATTTGCCTTCACAGGAAGCAGAACTCCTCTGTTTTGTACCTGCTTGCATGTTGCACAGTGCTTTCCTCCACTTATTAGAATACAAAATGACAGAAGCTCTGTACATCCCCATAGTCGTCCTGTCTATGTTTATTCAATTTTATTTTCCTTAAGCAAAACACGTAGATAAGTCAAATAATAGACCGATAAGTCATACCCAAGTAACACACTCTACTGTAGCGAGGGTAACATTGCTGCTCATGTTGGGTAAACATCACAGTTTGGCTCATTCTGCTGGTCTGTAGGTGTATTTCATTTCCTTTTCTTATTCATTTCCAGACATCTTACAGGAGAAAGAGCTTGAGGAGGTTTTTTGGGGACTGGGAAACTTATGGCCCTGGTTGAGTTGAAGGAGTAAGCCACGACAGCTCACTTTCAATAACTAGAACCAAAAAGATTCAGTTTCTCTTCACCCATCTCCCCCACCCACCCTGGATATCACTTAGCCTCCCCACATTATACTGTTATAGTTTGGCAGAACTGTGGAGAGGTTTTGTTTCTCTCTGTCTTCCACGTCTTTGTTAATTACTCTTAGGTGAAATGGTTGGGCTCATTTACACCTCAGCCTTCTAGGGCGGAGCCATCCTTCCTACACCTTTCTGCATTAAGTAGCAAGTATATGAAGGTCATGTAGTGCCGCCAGACTGTCCCTGCAAACACGTTAATGCTTAAGCATCCTTTTAATCTGTTTTGAATAAATTAGTGAGCTTAATTTGTGCATCTCTAGTACGAGTCTTTATCCCTGCAGCAGCATTGCAACCACAAAAACAACTCTTTGTTTCAGTTGAAATAGGGTGGTATTTTCCAGATTTGCACAGTTTCAATGAAAAAATGTCTTCTCACAACAAAAGTATCCATCAGTACTTGACAAAAAAGTCAATAAATAGAAATAAATAACGTAAGGTTTGAGTAAAGATCAGAGCTGCCACCAGTTGAAGTGCACATTTTAGAATCTTGATAACAAGCAGAAGTAATGAAAAATATTCAAAATGGGCCCCACCTGCACCCTCAAACACACACACACACACACACAC